TTTCACAATGTTCTCATGAATATTATCTATTCTTATCAAAAATACAGTTATATTTACTTTTGGTTCTGGTTGGTACTGTTTTTAATGCATATGTCAAATAAACATATTTCTCAATACTTTATTCTTTATAAATTTTGTACAAATCATCGGTATTTGTTTTTGGAAAAAATAATAAACTTTTTTTTTTTTCGATTCCATTACTATCACGATTATTGTTTACTTTCACAATGAGCATCTTAGTAGCTTAACCAACGATCCTCTCACAACAGATCATAAGTTGACACAAAATACCTTGAAAGCTAATAATATTTGTTCTACAATCCTTTGAACCAATGTTTTATTTTGTTTTATTTTTTTTTCGAAGTTGGATAAACCAAATAGATGTCAAATAGAAACCAGAATTATCATGTTTGACTTTTAGTCTGGACTTTTTACATTTTTATTCTAATTAATCTCTTTTTTTATATTTTTCTGAGATGAAAGGTAAAAATTAGTTTTGCGGTAAATATGGAACAATGAAAATACCTAGATATTTAATACCTCAATCTCAAGTAGATTATTATTCATTATGTGATAACAGTTCATTGATATTATGAGATGATTAATATAAAAACGAATTGTTTTGAAGAAATCATTTGAAATATTGTTGAATCATGATGATGACTTTATTTCAAACGGGTTTCGTTACACAGTAGCTTTATCAGTTGAAGTGGTACATCAAACTATTCTACAGTGTCTTTTAAAATAAAAAATTACAATACAATATTACTTCTAGGAAAACAAGTAATTCATAAATATGTTAATAATTGGCATTTTATGCAAAAATTTGATTATATAAATTACTAATTCTGGCAAAACAAGTAGATTTTGAAAAAACAATTACAATACAATGAAACTTTTAGAAAAACAGGTAATTTATAAATATATCAATTATTGGCATTTTAAGCAAAAACTGGATTATATTAATGACTAACTTGGCAAAACAATTACAATACAATGAAACTTTTAGAAAAACATGTAATTTATAAATATGTTAATTATTGGCATTTTATGATAAAACTGGATTATATTAAACAGGTATTATAATCAGGTAATTTATATATATATA